TACATAATTACTGTGTTATGCAACTATTGAAAGAGTCAAATGCAAATTTGTTTAGTTTCAATTTGTAAAAGATGTTCAAAATATATTTAAATGTGTAGAAAAATTAAAAAAAAAACTTGAAACAGATATGAGAGTATCGCAAAAGTGACATAAAAACTTAATGAATAAATATTTATTTGTCTTCCTTTCAAATTTTATAGCCATCGTCTAAAATAGACACGAAGCTGAAAGCTGAGGAAAGGGGTAGACGAAATTCTACTACCAACACAAACAGAAATTCGCTATGCGATTCTTTTCGGATTCCGGCGTAATTTACAGACAACAAAAATATTCAGTGGATGCCAAATTTCATATGAAATGATTGCATCGTCTTTAAAGATCCTTTCTAAGTGGTTACGGAAATTTTTCCATAGAGGACGATCCCTGGGAAGGTCGACCAAAATTTTTCATTGATGAATGCCCTGGCAGCATCGCGAATATTAAGCAATCATCTGGAATAAATAAGGCACAAAAAGAGGCTCGAGCGCATTTTGCTTAATTTTTCCTAAATAAATTCGAAAATGGTCAGTCTGGCAACTTTAGAAAAATCGTTACTGGTGACGAATCTTGGTTCTATAAGTACGATCAAGAAGCCGAGCAGCAGTATATTGTATGGACCCTAGATCTAAGGAACAAAAATCAGCCACAAAAGTAATGACGTCAGCTCACTTCACCCGATCTACAATCATTGCTGCTATTCCACTGGAAAAGGATCAGACGTTAACTGCAAAATGGTGCACCGATGAGTGCTTACCAAAAGTTTTCCAAAAATTTGTTGGAAAACAGGAAGAAGAAGGACTTGCGACGCTACTTTTAGCATCATGAAAACGCGCCATCCCACACTGTGCAAAAAACGAGTAACTTTATTGCGATCTCTGGAAACGAAGAATTACGTCCAGCACCTTGTGATTTCTGGTTATTTCCAAAAATTAAAAAAAAATTAGTAGGAAATGCCTTTCATCGCAACGAGGCTTAAATTAATGTAGTTAATGCTGAATTTGATCAGCTTAAAAAGCAAGATTTTGAAGACTCTTTTCAGAAGTGGATCTATATCGGTTTAAGAAACGCACTGAAATCAATGGCGATTATGTAGAGAAGGTAAAACAAAATTATGTTCAAAAAAGTAATAAAGAAATAAAAACAACCAAACGAAACACAGGCGAAACAAAAGAAATATAAAAAGCGTCAATTCATTAAGGTTGCGCTTAAAATTAATTGACAGCTCAGCGATGGTTTTGTAATAAGCTAAGCGGAAAAATGCGAGGGGATTAGATAACATCAACAACAACAATTAAAAGTTTAAACAAGATGCAGAGCGATGCCGAAAAATGTCTCATCAAACATAAAACAATATTTTGGTACAAGTTCATGACCTGGCCTTGTCTCATTTTTTTTAAGTTTAAATACATAAATATTAGGTAACTATACCAAACACTGCTGGTAGGTTAAAAGAAGTCATGTAGGAAAAATCTGTAAACGAATAAAAATAAATTTCTCACTTTTGAAAAATTGTGAAAATAAACCGTAAATCTTGTAGCCAAACCAAAATTTTAAAAATAAACCGTAACGTATTTACGATCTTTGCTGATATTAGAAATTAAAGTCTAAATCTTATAGCCAAACCAAACTGTTTGTTATGCACACTTAGAGCAGGGGTTCTGTTTATATCTAGGGATGAAGGAAGAAAACGTAAACGGAACATACAAATTTGAATTTCAGTACATTTCAATAAAGCATGGTGCTGGGGCCAGATTTCACGTTAATCTCTAGGTACTTTTTATATTGAAATATAAACAATTTTTTACTTTTTATGTTCGCCTTACTGGATTCGCTATTTAGAAATTTTTACAGTTAAACTCAAACTTTGATATTCGAATTAGTTGGCCTCAGCCGATTACAGCGCAAGAAAAATTAGTATTTAGACACACGTTGATTTAATATTTTTATATTATTTTACCACCTTATGGGAGAAAAATCCTTATAAATATATAAAATAGTTTCAGAAAAATCTCTAAAAAATTATATTTCATTATAATTATAGAATGTATTAAAATTTATATTTTTCCTACACTTTCTTGCCAATAAAAGTTAGGGCTTTAGATGAGTTCTTTTTCAGACAATTTTTTTTAAGACATTTCCTAGAGGGCTGCAAACTCATTCATGCATATAACCAGACGTGCGTATGATAAAAGTCTTTTATTTACATAGTAACTTAGACAATTGGCTTTTAATAGACTACAAGTCTGTATACATATATGTATGAATTTATGTGCATACAACCCTTTCTAATTTAGATGCATTTAGTTATCGTATCATATGCGTATACAAGTGAATACATATCAAATATGTGATTAATTATATTATTTCAGCTTACCAACATTTATTTAACCTTATATATAAATTGAGGATTTTTAATAGAAAGAAATTTGGTAAAAGAAAAATTTTACATTGTTTCAATACAATTGAATTTAATTTTATTTTCAATAGTTAAAATATGGTACTTTTGCTTTTAAAGAATAATAATAATTCTGGCAAATATATTGTTTCCATTTGGCTGCGAATATTTTTAATTAAATTAAAATAGGCACTTTGTAACCATTGAAGCGATTTCTCGGCCGTGCTCCTCCTTTGATTTGCCGTTTTGCCTCTTGATGTCTTTTCCAACAAATGGAGGAACCTATAGTTAGCTTATACTAACATTCCTTGCCGAGGAGGGAGGCCGCAATCAAAAAATTTCACTTAATTTTTTTTTTTAATGTAAATTAATTTTCCATTACTTTTGGATGTTGGTGGCACCGGGATATGAACCGGAGCCTTCCGAATGTCAGTACGCACTGCTAACTACTCGGTTAACGCGGCCGTCGAAAACATATACATATAAAGAAAAATTTAATATAAAATGTTTTTATGAAATTTTAGACGCTAAAGTATTCCAAATTTGCGACTCATGAAAAAAGCAAATGAATTTAAAAAAATATTTCGAAATGAAAATTTTTTGCTTGGATTTAATTTTTTACGCTTCGGTGCAGCTAAAAATTGTATTTTCCGCTTTTTGTATTTATTCGACTTTGGCCGTTTTTAACTTTAATTTACTCATTTTTGCTGAGCATGAAAACATATTGTATTATACACTTATTTCAACCATTCGGTTAACAGCAATTAAGAAAATGTAACTGAATATTAAAATATTCCATAATTCCACAATTGTATACATATATATATATATGCTAATATTTTCAACAAAATTTGTATACTTTTGCATTTTTAATAATAGTTTTTTTTTTTTTAAATTAATTTCAGTTTAGAGAAATAACGGCTTGCAATCCATTTAAATTCGATTAAAAACTACTGTTAACTTCAATGAAACTAAAATCCTTGAAATGTAGTTAGTTATAATTATATTTTTATTAAATAAAGAAGTAGACAAATAAATTAAATAAAATAAACATTCAAGTTTTGTTAGACCACAATATAATTTTTTTTCCATTAAACCCGTTAAACTCGAAAATGAAAGCTGCTAGTCTTCTTTATTTTATAACTTTTCTTTTTTCAGCTTTTCTACTTTATTTCATTTGAGATTTAAAGCTTAAAAGAAGTAAATTCAAATTTTACTCTCTGAAATGTTGTGTTCACCGGCACTTAACTAAACTAGAAACGGTTATCTTGATTGTAACAAAACATAAATATTTCCCTCCCATTTCTCAATTGGGCTTAAATAATCCTGCAACTCACGCCAACTCAAATTATCTCAAACATAAGACTCCTATATGAATCTCAGCCAACTTTTAACTTGAAATCTATGTTTTCCTTTTCCACAATTTCCATTTTGTTTTCCTAATATTTTTAACCAAATATAAATCTTTTCCAACAAACTTTTGTTCTTTCTTAGTTTTCGCTCAACTAACTAGAAAGTTAAGAGAAAAGAAGTTTTTACAATAACTATTTTAAGAATCGGATTCTAAGGCTTAATTACGCTTACAGAAAAATTGTGAATTAGCTCTAATAAAAAGTATGCAATAATAAAAAGCGTGCAAATAAAAGTTAATTGTTGATAGTTGGTAATTGAAATCTCAGTACATGTGTTGTAGTTATATGTACATTAAGCTTAACAACTTTTTGTAATGTTGTTAATAAACGGCTACAGAAACACATACGTTCACACATACATGTGTGCTTATACTGATACGATACGTTGACTTAAAGTAATTTATCAATAGTGCGCAAAGTTCAGTTAGGAATGTGATTACAGCTTTAACCGTATTTTAAAAAATCTACAAAAGCATTAACATTTAAACTTTGACTTAGTTAAATGCAAGCAGAAAATAGAGGGAATATTCAATAGCACTGCACGGGAGAAGGACGGTGTTGTGCTGTGAGCTAACAAAAGACTTAAGCAACAAACTCGTCAGGCGTATATACGCTTGTTTTTTACGTATGTATGTATTTATATTGTTTTATATCACTTATGAATTTATTTCGCTTAATTGATTGTGCGTGTAAAAGCCTATCGAAAGTCTTTACTGACGTTCGCACGCAGTTTTTAACCCTTTCAGTGAATGCTTTGACACCAAAAGGGAGATTAAAAACATGCTAAAAGTTTGATTTCGGTTCGGCTGACTGTTAATATACATAAATAGATATATTTGAGGTCAATACTTTTCTTGCTTCATATTTATAACTTTACACTTCTTCTCAATGGCTGCTTCTTCGAAAAATAGTTGCAAATAAGGTCAAATATTTGTAAATGCTCAGGGCACTCAATTTTAGGCCAACATTAATTGCATAATTCACACAAATATACTGGAGTATATATTTACTAAATTTGCGCGACAAAACCAACAAATAAACAATTAGTAAATAAATAAATATAAAAATATGCAATAAATTAAAACTTTTATTTGCTATTAAAGCTGTAGCTGGCATATACATATATATGTATGGAGATTTTTGTATGTACGTACACTTTTATCAGACACTGAGTATGCTTGATTGATGAATAGCTTCGTATGTATGAATATTTATATACAAAGTGAGTTTCACACTTCAGCCGCAAAGTCTTATTGAAATTTATCTTAATTTTTTCACCAATGCAAACTGACTCAAATAATCACCAAAAAGTATTTACTATGGAATCAATATTCCGTTTGGTCAACTGTCACCTTACGTTTTTATTTTGCGATTTGCAGGCAAAAACTGTGCACCGAGCAACGTCCGATTGGAGACTGAGCCTCAGTCAATGCTTGCCGGCTAATATGAATGGATTGTCTGAGTAGCCAACGGCTGCGACTGCGGCGACGGCGGTGATGGCAGCATACACTTTGCGAAGCGCCAGCGCTGCGGAGGCAAAATTAAAAACAACAGGTTTGTTTACAAAAAACAATCGGAGACGACTAGTTGCAGCTACGCGCCAATGCGGGTTATGCGTTTGTTTTTATTTTTCTGTTTGTTTTTTTCTTTACTTGGCTTTCAATTGGCCCGCTTTTTTTTGGATGCAGTATAAGTGGTTTTGAGCTGAAATTGTATCTATTTACTTTTATTGAGTTCTGTTTGCTGTTTCAGATGCTTTTTTATTATTTCTTTTGTTTTTTTTTTTTTTACTTAAGTTGCTGCCAATAACATGCTTGGCTGTTGCGTTGAATCCTTTGTATTGTACATAAATATGTATGTACGACTATGTAAAAACTGTTTGTCCACAATGCGGCAAGAAAAATTTCCAAAGAAGAACAAAAGAAATGCCAAATTCACCATGGTTAGAATTGCACAAACTGAATTTATTCGCCTGCAATCAGCGCATTCCTACTTCCATTTCATTACAACAACGTTCAACATATTTATTGACTCAACTATCGTGCTGAAATCTTTGATTTGACGCGCTTGAATGCTTGAAATCGGCGGCGCTGCGCCTATGCATCGACTGCAATAGCCCAACCGTATAGGGCAGTTGCAATGTGTTCAAGTATTTATGCACTGCAAACATGTTGCCACACAACTTCAGCTAGCTTCGAGCCACACTTTGCTTTACCAGCGGGTAGTTTACTAATTAACCATCGGATTATTGATATTCAACCATATTCATATGTAGACACGTGTATAAAGAAACGATTGCTCTTTGTTGGTATTTTGATATTTTGATGTTGTCTACTTTGTAATTGACTAAAATATGAAAAATCGAATTTAGTTATATTTTTTGCCTTTTATCGCTTGCATACATTCATAAATGTAGTTGACGCATGTTTATGATACAAACAAATCCACGTAGAAGCGCGCGGTTTATTGAAATTTTCTTAATTCATGCTTCGCTTGCGATAATAACTGATGGATGGTAGGCTCAGATAGCAGCGCGGTAATGCACCGTAACGAATTCTGTTATTTTAATTTGGGGTTTCGGTGATTGGATTTGCAGCTTCTGATAAAACAATGTGTATTTTACCTTAAGACATGTCTAACTCATATCAATTAAATCGATGTCGCAATGTGGTTTGTTGCAATAATTAAAAGGAACCTTAAACCAGAATAGATAAACAAATAAAGTAATTTGTATTTGCAGTATGTTGCAAAGGTGCATTTAATGGCTTCATTGCAAAGTTGGCTGTAGGAGACTATATGATGAAGTATTTCAACTTCGCTGACTTTCGGTAACAATGTCTACTTGTATATACATACGTGTGTAGCATGAAAATCTTCATGCTCATAGATACTCCATTGGCAGCTTTTCTACCCTAAACATGGCTAAATCAACTCAGTTCATTGTTGTGATTCGAACAGTATAGATTTTGATGGGTCTTCTCTTCTCCCTTCTGGTACCTAAATACTCCGAAAAGTTGTAAAAATTAACTTAAATATTTTATTAAAAGTAGCTTTTAATCCGATAGACATATCAGAGTTTTGTAAAATATATTTCAATATTAGCCCTTAAATGCGTCATCTCGGAGTCTTGCAAACATATTATTTACAGTTTTATCTATATATACGTTATACGCTTTTTATTTACAGAGTGTCTACATTGATTTTGATGATTTGCGCCAATTCGAATTGGTCGCCAGTCGAACAAGAAGAATACAAAAAGAAAAGCCGGAAAGTGAATTAGGAACCAACCTAGTAAAAAAACCACATTTACGATTTGAATTATTTGAAATTTAGTATTGGATGAGTGCATAAGTTCGTGCCCGATTTCAAGTGCAAACTAAAATTGATATTTTTTGAAGAAATCGCTTTTATTAATCAATTATGTATTCGCCATCATGTTCGGCAATCCACTCCCAATGTTCAACCAATTTACGGATGCCTGATTCATAGAAATCGCGCGGTTTCTCGTTGAAAAAGGTGTCAAGGTGGTTTTTGACGTCTTCCACATTTTTAAATTTTTTTCCATTCAAATTGTTCTGCAGCGATCGAAACAAATGATAATCAGAAGGTGCAATGTCGGGTGAATATGGGGGATGCGGCATGATTTCCCAATTCATCTCCTTCAGTTTGGCCAGGGTCGGTTTTGCAACATGTGGCCTGGCGTTGTCATGATGGAAAAGAACTCCTTTGCGATTGGCCAAAATCGGACGTTTTTCATCAATTGCTTTCTTCAATTCGACCAATTGCTGACAATACTTGTTGGCAGTGATCGTTTCTCCAGCTGGCAAGAGCTCAAAATAGATCACGCCTCGGATATCCCACCAAATGCACAGCAGTACCTTCATCGGATGCAATCCACCTTTCAGCATCGGTTCCGCCCCTTCGTGTGCCTGTTTCAATGTTTTTTTTTTGCGTTGAATATTGTTGTACAGGATCCATTTTTCATCACCAGTCACGAGCCGATCCAAAACAGGTTCGTTTTTGATCCGTCGAAGCAAAGAAATTGCTGTTTAATTGCTGGTCCACTTTGTTTTTTTTCACTCAACTGATGTGGAACCCATGTATCGAGCTTCAAAGTGTACCCAACCTTTTTTAAACGACGAAACGCAGTTGATTTGTTGACGTTCAATTCACTGGTAACCTCTTCCGTCGAAATACGTGAGTTATTCGCAACTAAAGTCCTTAGAACATCGTCATCAAGCTCAGAAGGCCGTCCACTGCGAGGGTGATCTTAGAGGTTAAAATCTCCAGAACGAAATTTCGCGAAACATTTCTTTACTGTGCGGAGTTCTGGAGTGCTGGAGCACGGTCCAAATAAACTTCGCGAATATCTTTAGTTGCAGCGCCTACTGTTTTTCCTTTGCGGAATTCGTATAACATAATATGACGAATATGATCTTTTTCGGTGTCCACCTTCCATGCGTCTTTTCACTAAGCAACTCAAATCAAAATAAAGTTATTTTATGCACAGTTCGGACTGTCACCTTTCCAACGATATATTGTATAATATATATATATTTCTTTCACGAGCGCCGCTCCCAAAAGACTAGAACGGCATCCAGCGGAATCGGGCACCAACTTATGCACTCATCCAATATTATATGTAGCTTTTTGCTTGGATTAACTAAAGCTCTACCATTTTTTCCGCAAAGTAGACTAGAAAGCGTTTTATACTAAAAAATCGTATTTGTGATTCGATTTACTTCAAGTGTACTACACTTCTCTCCGAAAAGTGGATTCGATTTACTTCAAATTTTTTGCACAACACTATGGGCAAAAAGCCGGAAATTTTTGCATCAAGTTCAATTTCAAAGCTAGACAGTTAAAATTGGCACACAAATTTTGTATATTATTTTAGAATTTTGGTTTGGTTTATTTTTACGACAATTAAATCACACTTTGAACTCTTTCGCGCACACACAAGGAGAAAAATTATTTTTTTATACTAATATTTTGAAATGTTATTTACAAATAGATCTAGTCTTCTTCACCATCCTACTAAATTTCCAAATAATCATTAGAATAATCATCAAACAGTTTGGTAGGGCAGGGATTTTAAAAAATTTATTACATCTGCGGGAAGAGGTTTTTTCCTTTCTTTTATTCTTTTCTTTAATTGTTTTTGTTTTTTTTTTGCCTTTCAGTTAAACAAGTACTTGATATTTATGGATCAGAAAAATCCATAGCTCCTTAAAAAACATCTGTCATATTTTTTAAGCGGCAATTTATTTCGGACATGTGATTTCCTATGGGTTACTTAGTACTTCTTCATTGCTTCTGAGTCATTTTTTCCTAAACATTCAACCGGAACCAAAGACGATCTTATTATTTGCCGACCATGCTATAATATTTTGTGTACCAGCAGTGACATAGGATACCAGGGCTAAGTATAAACATATAATAAAAATGTTTCCTTACAAAATGCTTGAATTTATCAACATCTATAGGATGTAGTATAGTGATCAAAACTACAATACGAACTGTATGAAATATTTTGATCAAATCTTGTAATTGATGAAAATAACTGGTAATTAGTGAATGCTCTTCCAGTCGTGCTTCCTTCATACTATACCCATTTCCATTTTGCTTGGAAATACTTGCATGCAAGCCGATTTATGAACACATCATTTTCTGAGTTTCCTTTTTCCGAGTCATCAATTTAATTTTATTATACTGGGTAATAAGGCACTTTTGAACTTCAAGTCTATAGAATATGTTTAATACAAATTCAAGAAATCAAATCCAGGCTTGCATCAAAGTCGCTGGACTTGGCTTAAAACATGCGGCGTGAAAATCAGTGGTTTCGAGGAGATTTTTTAATTTAACTCCACATATTTGGCAGAACGAAGTTGAATACGTACCAGTTACAGCGTTAGGTACTCTTCCATCAAGAAGTGTTATCTGTGATTTGCAGGTAGTAACAGTTGTTTTTCCCTCTTTTGGTTATATGAAATCCTTTAGACCAGCGACTTGCATATACAAATATTCTCTTTCTGTTAATTTTTTCTCATGGCTTTCCTTTGTATACTCAATTTTAAGTGGCCTGCAGTACCTTACAGATTGCGGAACACTGTTATTCCAAATATTTTGTTAATTTGCATCTATTAATTTTAAAGCAAAATGGATAGATCCAGCGAAGCAAGTTTTTCCAATCGGAACTTCTGCTTATATAAGCTTAGCCCAGCAGGCCCATCGAAAGCATAACTTGCTACGAACATATTTATTATATGAGATTTTACATCTTTTCACACTACCAGCATTCTTTCGGCTGTATGGTCTAAAAGGCTTTGCCTTAGAACCTGCGCAAAATATTCCAAAATTTCTATTTGAATTGGCCCGCAAAGAGTTTTGGCAACTTAAGGTGCTGAATATGGGAGAAAATAGCA